ACTTTGGATTCATAAGTGTTTACAATTGAAGCGGTCCTCACTTCACACTTATATAGATGACCTCGTTGTCAAGAGTATCTTGTATTACTCCACCTTTAAAAGGTTAGGGATTCATTAAAAGTCCAGATGACTTACCCTCACGACAATCAACAGGTAATCTTGCACTTGGATTGCTTTTAGGGAATAGATTTGGACATTCTAATGTTCCAAGTGCTTAGCTGAATTTTCATAGTTTAGTTTTCCCCTTGAACCAAGTTTATGGGATCTCCATTCAACAAGGTAGGGTTACCACTATGATCATTCTTTTCATTGTGGATTTTTAATCCCATTCCCTCTAGCAGTATTCCCAATTGATCTCTATTCAATCCTTTAGTAAAAGGATCAGCCAAATTTTCCTTAGACTTTACGTAGTCAATGGAAATAATACCATTTGTGATCAATTGGCGAACGGTATTATGTCTACGACGAATATGTCTAGACTTACCATTGTACTGTTACTTTGCGCCCTTCCTATAGCAGCTTGGCTATCACAGTGAATCATCACAAGCGACAAAGGTTTATTCCAACATGGAATATCGGATAAAAAGTTTCAAAGCCACTCGGCTTCTTCACCAGCTTTATCTAAAGCGATGAACTCCGACTCCATGGTTGACCGAGCTATACATGTTTGTTATGTGGACTTCCACGAAACAGCTCCTCCTCCGATACAGAAGATATATCCACTTGTGGAGTGAGAATCTCTCGAATCTGATATCCAACTTGCATCACAGTACCCTTCAAGTACTGCTGGATATCTCGAGTATTTTAGCCGTATTCAAGGGTGTACTTTAAGTACTTCAGTACCCTTTTCAAAGCATTCCAGTGCTCAAGACTGGGATTGCTCGTAAATCTACTCAACTTATTCACCGGATAGGCCAAGTCTAGTCGTGTACAGTTCGTCAAGTACATTAGACTCCCTATTATCCGTGAATATTCCAATTGAGCAACTGGTTGACCTTTATTGGCTTCCAGATTTATGCTAAGATCAAGGGGTGTCCTAGACAGAGGACCTTCATAGGCATTAAATTTCTTGAGCACTTTCTCTACGTAATGAGATTGTGACAAGACAATTCCATCTTAGGTTCTGATAATTCTTATTCCAAGAATTACATCAGCTAAACCCATATCTTTCATGTCGAAATTTCTTTTCAACATTCGTTTCGTATCCATGATCACGTCATGGCTACTCCCCATGATCAACATATCGTCTACATATAGACATACAATTACATATGTATTTGATGTGTTTTTAACATAAAAACATTTGTCACATTCGTTGATTTTGAATCCATTTGACAACATCACGTCATAAAATTTCAAATGCCATTGTTTCGGAGCTTGTTTAAGTCCGTACAAGGATTTGATCAATTTGCACACCTTTTTCTCTTGTCCAGGTGCTACAAAACCTTCGGGTTGTTCCATGTAAATCTCTTCTTCTAATTCACCATTCAAAAATACCATTTTGACATCCATTTGATGAATCTCAAGATTGTGCAAATCAGCAATAGAGAGAAGCACTCTAATTGACGCTATGTGTGTCACAGGTGAATAAGTATCAAAGAAGTCATACCCTTCTTTTTGTTTAAAGCCT